AAACGAACACAATTGGAAGTATTCAAAATTATTTTTTTATTACAGAGGAAGCTATAAGTATGATATAGTACTTCTGACCAATCAGAAACTCTTCAAATATGGCTAGACAATGTACAAGCTTTCCATTCCGTTATATTATAGAGAAACATATCTCTTAGTGTATTTATCAGTCACACAAAAACAATGACTACCATATTCTGTACCCAACAATACACATGTACTGGATACTCAAATCAGAAGTCACCCTTCCATGGAGTGTAACAACACTCAAATCAGAAGTCACCCTTCCATGGTGTGTACCAATGTTTGAGGAGGTCATTACTGGATCTAGGATACAATTTCCTAACAGGGAACCAAGTTGACTTCCAAACTGATGTATAGGTTTGTTTTGGAGACTAGGCTAACACTAAGCCCAGCATAATATTAACAGTTTATGAGGGAAAGAAAAACATCAAAAAGAAATCACAAAACAATTCAATGTTATAACAAAGACATAAACAATCTTAAGTATGTCTGGTGTATATGTTGATATACTAGAAATACATGGCTCAAATACTGGAAAACAGATCCATGAGGACCAGTCTAACAGAGGAAGGGAAAGGAGTGAAGGTAGAAGTGTTCAGGACAAAACATGGAAAACAAAATCAACATGATAACACACCAATAGATGATTTCTTTTCACTTTTTCTGTCATTCAATGTGTTTCTCTTACAGAGCAAAAAGCAGCAGGTTGACTGCTGATATTTGCATTACAAGGAAAGTATCGAACTCTTTGGATAACACTTTGACTACAAAATCTGAATGAATTACATTAAAACTTGTATTTGTAGGAGCTTTAACATAAAATTTGAAAATCTTTAAAATAAAGAAACATAAGTCAACATTGAATATAAACATCTAATCCTCCATCAGGTAATAATACATCTGTACGGCAGTAACAAATAACCTCGCTTAACAATGCGTAAATTCTACATGTACTTAAAAATCTGTGCACATCAAGGTACATCAATGAGACTTTGTAACAGGAAGCCCAAGGGTCGTGAACCGCTCACCCAGCTATTTTGAAGATAATGTTTAAATCTACCCCATAGTTTAGGAAAAATACCCCTGGAATATTAGGCACTCATTTATATACCTTTCGATTGCAATGGGCTATACACATGCCACCACTACAATTTGGTTGACTTCGAACAAGTACATTTGGAAGGAGAATGTCATTCAAAGTAAATCAGTCGAGTGTACTGCTCTATTCCACACCCTTAGCCCCCAGGATGGTCAGATCTTTTGATTAACCCTTTCACCACTGTAGACCTTGATGGACTCAACCAGACCAATGCATGGTAGATTCTACTAAAGTTACATAGGGGTGAAAGGGTTAAGGTTAAGTATAACATCATTACAATTTGTTTGAATTCTGCCCATTCCTGAAGGACATTTTATTTAAAGCAAATCAATCAATTTAACCCCTTTTATCCACCTCATTGCCCTAGGAAGGTCAGTCTCTGTACTTGTACAAGTTTTAATCCTTATGTGCTAAGTATGCTTCTACTACATTTTGGTTAAAATCTGTCAAGTAGTTTGGGAGATGTCATTTTACAAAAATTAGCTAATTTGACTCCTTTTACTTAGCCCCTTAACTTCCAAGAGTCGGACCCATTTTTGTGTAACTTTTAATCCTCATGAGCGAAGCATTCTATCTGTAGAATTTGGTTGATGTCTGTCCAGTAGTGTTGGAGAAGTTATTTAACACAAACCAGACCCTTCAGATTTGAATCAGATTTGACCATATTACCCCACAACGTGCCCCCCCCCCCCCCCCCATATGCATATGTAGATTCCCATAGTCTAAGGATGATAGGAATCACATTTGATTGTTCCTTCTCAGTAGTTTGGGAGATGACAAACTAAGCACCACCACGTAAGCTCATCTGGGTACTTTGTACCATGTGAGTAAACAATGAAGGTGTTATTAACATGAAAACAAGTAATTTCTTAAACAGTTACAGATATACTTAAATACCGATAAAGGCTTATGTTTGCTTGTGACAATAGCATTTGTTCATTCACATTATAACCATTAATGACATGTTTGCATGTAAATGTGCTTAAAGCTCACATTCCAAGTTCAGAACCATAGATGGGCATTTCGATTTTTTTTATTTTCTACACCTGGTAAACAGAAAAAGTGGTCTCTCAATAAAGGGTCAATTAACAATTGAATCACTACGATGTGGAACATTAAATGTGGCCTTCAAACACAGGTGGTCTCTTAATAGAGGTGGTTGTATGAGCAGGTTTGACAATTTATAGAGAACACCAGCACACCATTGTACTGTTTCCATGGTGACTTTATCACAAGTCCTATCAGGGTCATACTGCTAACTCTTTAGCAATGGTTATACACACATCTTTATTCATACAAAAAACATCAAATAACGAAAGACAAATCAACTGAAGGTTAGTCATCATCCACACAGCATTCATCAGATTTCACCAAGTTCACCTAAAAGCAAAAAGTTTTGGCTTACACAAATAACTCTGATAAGAAATCAGTTACTCAACTTAAACAAGAGGCCTAGATGACCTGCATCGCTCATCTGGATATTTAGGTAATTACACTAAAACTTTTCTTGTAAAAATAATGATTGCTAATATGTATTTATGACATTCATCTCTGCCTCTCAGCATCCAGTGGAACAAAGCCATCCCTAGTCCCAAGGATGCCTTTAAGCAAATTTGGTTGAAACATGATCAACTGTTTGGAACGAGTAGACTTAAAATACTTAAATGTCCCATTATCCCATATAGAGCCAAGCCCCCTGGGTAGCTACATTTTTCAATCAAACAGCTGATCTCCAGGTCCCAAAGACGGTTCCTAAGGAATTCAGTTTAGATTTGTATGTGCGTATTTAGTTACAGGAGTGCATGGTCATTATTATTTAAGAAATTATTGCCTTGCCCCAGTGATGTTTCAAATAAAAAACGGTACCAATTCACATAGCTGCTTGCAATTGGGAGTAGGCTTACAAATCAAACCCCCTCTTAACTGTTTGGGAGGAACGAATAGGCTTTTGACGAAAGAAACAAGAGGCCCATGGGCCTTAACGGTCAGCTGATATATTTATACAGAGAGTTGATTTTGTTTTTAACATGAACAGAAATATTATTCAAAGTGACAAAAAACAATAAAACCACCTTATTCAATATCTAGCATACAGATTTCAGACTAAGAAGGATTTGAAACAAGCACCTCTGATTCTATACAAGGAAAATGAAGAAATTTTAGCACACTGACTCCTTTTAGCCCCACCCTACAGCCCTTGGGGGTAGGGCTGGCTCAACATTTTCAAAGTATCAAACTGTCAATTCAAGGTTATAATTCCAATCAAGTTATTAACATGTAATATTCAAAGTATCATTTGCCATTATAAACCATAACAAATTTTGCCCCCCACCCCCCTCCTTCCCCAGGGGGTAAACATGAGACACTAGGGTCATAAACCTTAAGACCCTTCCATCTATGAAGAGTATTTGATTCTACCATATCTGGGTCTTGAGAAGAAGATTTTTGAAATTTCAGTAAATTCAACCCTTTTTGGCCCCACCCATCAGCCCCTGGGGGTCAGTCAGGGCTGATATGTGCTTATTATCAAACTGCTACCTAATACAGATAATGCTAACCCAAGTTGAATTACTTCCAATGGAATAAAACAAATATTGGTCCAAAATGTGATTTCCCTATATAAACTATAGTAAAGTTTACCCCCTCCCCAGGGGGAAACGTGAGACCCCAGGGTCATGAAATTCACAATTTCCGTAAAGCACCTTAAGACCCTTCCATCTATGAAGAGTATTTGATTCTACCATATCTGGGCCTTATGAAGAAGATTTTTGAAATTTTAGTCAATTTGTCCCTTTTTGGCCCGCCCCTCAGGACCCTGGGGGCTTGGGACTAAACCGGCCACTAATTTTGTTGACCTTTGTCCATGGAAGGTTCCTGCAAAATTTCATTGAAATTGGTTCAGGGATTTCGGAGAGGAAGATTTTTGAAATTTTAGTCAATTTGACCCTTTTAGGCCCGCCCCTCAGGCCCCTGGGGGCTTAGGACTAAACCGGCAACTTGTTTTGTTGACCTTTGTCCATGGAAGGTCCCTGCAAAATTTCATTGAAATTGGTTCAGGGGTTGTGGAAAAGAAGTCGAAAATGAAAATTGTTTACGGATGGACGACGGACAAAAGGCGATCGCTTGAGGTCACTTGAGACCTAAAAAGCTGACGACTGATGCTGTGCCATCCCACAAGCTGCAACTGGCAAGTGAGCTAAAATAACATATAGCGTGTACACATGCAATTACAAAACTAGCGTTTTGTACCCTGTTTACAGAATATTGCCCCTATGGATTCTGCATCATATACAGAATACCACACCTAATCTCTGCTACTTCTTAAAACATGTTTTCTTCGTAGGTATGAGCATATGTAAAAGTACATCAACTCAACACTGGCTGAAAACTGCTGTAAGATTGTATTATCTGAAATAAAACCAAAGATTTCTTTATGTGGTTGTAACCACCACCAGTGTCCCTAGTGCATTGTTGCTTCTATTTTCTTTTTCTTGTCAGAAACCTTACGATTGATACCATGATCAGGTCTAGCCACTCAGGTAGATAATGGCATGATCAGAAGCACAAAAACAAAATTAACTCCACTATCATTTTTGTAACTTGTAACAGAAATCACATGATTTTTGTATATCTGTATTTAGATATGTTACCTTAAACTTTGCAATAAGTCAAAAGTAAACTTTTTAAGGGTTGCGTGTACATTAGGGCTAATGCTCCTAAAATATACTAATCGACCCTGATCAGGTTCTAATAGAATGACTTTAATCGACCCTGATCAGGTTCTAATAGAACGACTTTAATCGACCCTGATCAGGTTCTAATAGAATGACTTTTATCGACCCTGATCAGGTTCTAATAGAATGACTTTAATCGACCCTGATCAGGTTCTAAAAGAATGACTTTAATCGACCCTGATCAGGTTCTAATAGAATGACTTTCAATCAAGTTTTTTTATACTATCACTTTAGCGGTGTTTATTTTTCAGCTAGGTCGACACTGAACAGCCTGATCGTTCCTTTGTCCCCCCTCTTCCTCGTCCACGTCAAACACCCCAGTTATTCGGTACCCCATGTTCATCAACATCACTTCCAGAGGGTCAGCATTCATCCTTTTTTGATTGGCCAAAGCTGCATCATCTGAGTTGTTAACCTCTCTGTCATTTTTTGTCCCATCCTGTGAAGATTTTACCAGTTTACTATTAATTATTTGAATCACCTTATTTATATTAGAGAAATCAAATAATTTCTTCTGCACTATATTAAGTACTAAAGTAGATTGTTGGAGTAAGACAGGCAGAATGCAATGATGAAGTTTAATGTTTTCAATTCAAACATATATCTTATGTATCATCAAATTGATAAATGGCAATAGCAAACTGAAGTAAATGAATACCGGTGTATAATATATTAATTTATTAAACAATAAATAAATATACATTCAAGTACTTGTATCAAACCTGACTGAAAATGATTTTGAGATTTTTTTTATATGGAAAAATAAAAACCATTGTACCAACCTCTGCCCTAGGACTCCACAGTCTCACAACAGGATCTATACCACTGGTGGCTAACAGACAACATGTGGGATGGGGCTGTAAACAGTTCACTATAGATTCATCTCCCCTTAAAACTCGCACAATGTTGGCGGTACGCTTCTCCCAGATAAAGAATGAGCCATCATCTGAACCGGCGACAATGTACTGGCCGTTACTGTAATGTAAAATCATTTATCTTCATTGTTCCTTGCTTTGTGATTACTTTCTGTCATATGTCCTTAAGTGGCCACGGATGTATACTCATTTTTAAAATGTGACAATATTTAAAAAAAAAAAAAAATCATCCCTTAAGTTAAAAGTAAATGTAATATTCATCATGACACATGGAATATTTTGTTTATAAGATTTTCAAAGGAGAAACATATAACAAAGAGGAGAGAAGTGATTGCTAATAATACATCAAACGATTTTCCACCAATCCATTTAAATTTGATGTCACAAATTAAATCAAATGTTTACATTTTTTTTAAAGTTATATTGTTCAAAGAAAAAATATTATCTATACTATCTATAAGCCTTTACTTTAGTTCTGGTATGTGTATGATTTAACTGCCCAGCAAAGTGATGTAGGAACGTTCTATCTTATATCTCACTTGATGTGTGTGACATCACAATGGGACAACAATCATGTGACTAAATGCCTGTACCTGCCAAAGAAGTTTGCTTCCTTGATGTCTGTTGTTGTGTTACAGTGACCACAGAAGCGTGACTGGTAATCGTACGCCTCCTCCCGCCAATACTTCTCCTGGTCAGACATTGGTGTCATTGCCTTCTTTATGGGTGATTTAGAGGAATCGGAGGAAGCGCCATCTTCCTTCTCATCTGTTAAACAATATAAGGAAATCACAAAACAATATTTCTTAGGGATCACCACACAAGTACCACCTAATAGCATTACGTTTTAAAGATATATCTGATCATGACATCCTATGCTAACCTTGATCTTGGGGTGATATAGTTGTATATTTACCTGTAGTACACGTCCCTGAGTATAAAGCTGCCTTGATGTCCCGGTCGAGTGCCTCACAGGCGTGGCTCTTTGCATAGTCTGGAAATTTGTGTTTGAAATGTTGGAGACAATCATGGGCCTCCTGCGGCCAGGAGAGTTCATACAGACACCGGGCGAGGCGAAAGTGGGCTTTGAGGTGGTTTGGGTCGAGGTTCAGGGCACTGTGGCAGTCTCTTAAGGCTGCATACAGGTCACCATCCCTGTAAAATGAAAAAAGTATGGTAGTATTGGAGCATTGATCCCTCAGGATAAATCCATTTATTAATGTTACACTTGTAATTGGATTTTAAATACAACAGAAACATTATAATAGGCTGATACGTCAAAGATAGACGAGCTCAGATGTCATTCACAAACAGGCAGTGATCAGCCAATTACTCTGGATTTTCCACCTCGAGGATGATCAAAGATAGGAGTTGAAATGTCAAGTGAGTGATGGTTACTACTGGTGACATTTTAGTAGTCAGCCATCCAAATATTATACTCTAACAAATAACACCAATAACATCTACAGTTACAACCTACCATTTCCTCTTCATGAAGGCAGCTGCCCTGTTGCCATATAACACTGAGGCGTAGGACACACGAGCAATCGCTTCGTTGTAGGCAATGATGGCCTTGGAATACTGTTCCTTCTCAAAAAAAGTATTTGCACGTTTCTTCAAAGCCTCAACAAATGTAGGCAGAGTCTTTCCCTCCATTCTGTGTCTGGTAAACAGAGAAAGGCTAAACATGTAACCATTAACTAAGGTGACAGAACAAACACTGGAAATGTATTTTACACATGGAAACATCTGCTTAACATTGTGGCCTTGACTTTTATTTTCTAATCTCAAAATCCTTAAGGTCAGTCACTCTGTGAAATTAGAAGGTCCTAGGTAGAAATATGCACCACTTAGGGGGAAAGATACCTGCTAAGAGCCTAGAATAAAAAAAAAAATCGCTCAATTGGTCTCTGCATGTGAACTTTACTATTGCTAATCCATCAACCTATCGCAGTGTGCATTATAGGTTAAACTATTCATAAAGGTCAATCTTGTATTTGGCATCATTTTTTGTTAAAGTTACCAAATTTGTTTTACAATATTATGATTTGAATTGTAGAGACAGATATTGGTATAAAATTACATTGGGAATCTGTTTTACACTAAGTCTTAGAATCGGGAAACAATTTTTGCATAATGGATAGTTAAATTTCATAATCGTAGCAGAAAACAAAATTATGGTCTAAAACAAAGATATGTCTAAAGACAGATAGACAGTGTGATTATGATTAGAATTTGGTGTATGATTAGTGTAAGTTGTGTTTGTAGTAACCCACCTCTTCCCACTGTGTATGTCCTGCTGTTTCTCCTCCACTTCCATCTCAGCCCTCATCATGGCTGCAGCTGCTGCCCCTGTGGCCGTGTGCAGCCCATTACTCACACCATTGGTCGTTCCATTTTTGTGCAAGCTAAATCCATTGCTATGGGAACAGGCTGCTTCTGAAATTGATATTATCAATGGTCAATGTAATCTTTTGTTTATTAGTTCTGTTACTTTAAAATGATAAGATCATTATTATTTCACAATATAAATAGGTATTCTTTTACGCATTAGTACCACCAATTTTGTAGTTACAAATTAGAAACAGCTATAAAATATAAAATAGGGAAAGCAATGCATCTGGGTTAATGCTAAGTACAAATTGTGTTTATTACTTGTGCACTAACTTTCTAATTTGATGTCACTTGTGGTATTCATGAAAAGTTCAGAAACTTCATTGACTTAGATTGCTTTCTATAATAGTCAGATTTGATGAAACCAACCTTTATAATTTTAGCAATAATCATTAACATTTTCTTTTATTTTTAATCTAGTTTTGTTATTAATTTAGTACTAATTACGCTGAGTTAAAGGATAGATTCTGAACACTTAGCTGCTCACCTTTAACAAGTCCATTGGCAGCTAGAACCATTGATGTGTCAAACTTTTCTGCTGTCCTGTTGTTATTGATATCAAACAGGTAGATCTGTTCTCCACCTAGATTCACCAGGAGCTCGCGCCCATCAGGGCTGAAGGTCACGTAGGTGGCAGCCAAAGTTCTGTATCGCTTCTTATAATCTAACTGCTTCTGGGGCAAATGTCCTGTACAAAAATTGAACGTGGGGATAAGCAAGAAGGTCAATCTGTAAAAGAATTCCAAAATGTGTTTGCCCCATTAATTTTAATGGGTTTCAGCCTTCAACTTACAAGGATGGCCATGACTCTCTTTTCACAATAATGAATCTCCTACATCCAGAAAAAGTCCCCTATTTCCTTTTTTGAGCCTGTCTCATTATCCCCTGGATTTGAGGGGGGGGGGGGGGGGGGGGA